CGACCCACAGGTTGAGAACCGCTGGCTTAGGCCATCTTATTTTCTTGGTTCCCAAACAAGGCTGAGGAAAGAAAAAAGAGGTGCTCCTTGAAATGCAGGCAGAGCCCAGTGGCTCCAGATGTTGCCAATGAGGCAAGATGTTCATTCTCAGCCTGTATGGAGTTTTAAGTTCATAAGCCACTTTGAAATGGCAATTTTCATAGAGACTGAACTATATAAAAAACCACCATGTTTCAAGAACAGCATGCACACTTTCCCTCAGAGGTAAGTAACATATGATTTCACTCATATGTGGAATCTAATGAACAAATAAACTAACAAGCAAAATAGAGACAGACTCAGATAGAGAGAGCAGACTGACAGCTGTGTGGGGAGGGGGGGAGGAGAAGGAGGGAAGAGATTGAATAAAAAAAGAGAGAGAGAAAATGTTTGTTGGTTTGTCACCAGGTTTCTACCTGACTAGACTGTATCTTTGAAGGTCAGAATCTAATCTTATCTTTCATCTCAGCTTGGGTTAGAACCTGGCTGGCCTCCCATTTTTTGTAAATAAAGGTTTTATTGGCACACCGCCATGCCCAGTCATTTATCTAATGTCTGTCTTTTCTACAACAACCAGTCGGGCAGTTGGACAGAGACACAATGTCCTGAAAAGCCCCAAACATGCACTACCTGGCTCTTTACAAGAAGCTTGCATTCTCCCACTTGAAAAGAAACTGACTCACATAGGTATTCTCCAGCTGGCTGTTTAATAAATACTGGTTATAGCGAAGCCTTTCATTTCTTTTCTTTGTTAAAAAGTGGTGGAAAACCTCTGCCCTGTCAGGTGAGATCAAGCCCTAAAAATTTTGAAATCCTGATGCAGAAGTTGGAGTAACAACCATTTAAAAGTTTGGAGCCTTTAAAAAATTGTTTTCCCTCCCCATGGTGGAGTCTTAAATTTATCTTTGGGGAAGCTCCCTTAAAGGTAAGTCTGTTACCCAATCAGTGCTCTTGTGGAAACTGGAAAGTCACTGACAAACATCACACAAGTTTTTATCGAAGTCATCAATACTAGGGTCCAGGTCTCAGGGTCCTGAGGTGGCGGGAAAGGGAAAGGCTTGGTGTAAACGTGGGATGCACAGAGCTGCAAACCAGTGCTGCTTCTTGAGGAGCCAGCATCTGTAGGAAATCCTGAGTAAGATGCCACAGGAGGGGGTAGGAATGAGCATCTTGCTCTGGAGGGGGACTGTGAACAGGAACCACGTGGACTTGGTATAGCCCAAACTGGACAAACTCCAAGTCTGCCAAGTTGGGTGGGTATGCCACAACACAGCTGGTACTAAAGGTATTCATTCTAGTGTGAGTCTCCTGATGAGGCCCACGCAACAAAGCCAGCCCCTTGAGGCTGTGGTAGGGGTTTTCCCTGAAGTGGATATTCCATAATAGCAATCGAGGTTGCTCCTGGCCAACACAAAAGGGCCTCTGTGATGATGAAACTTTTCACTCTTAGAATCTAGTGTTGGGTGATGCGCCTGGGGCGCAGCAATGCCTAGAACATCTTCGCGTATAAGAATAAGCTGGTCGCAGACTCATGGAGGCGGATCGACAGCTAAGCAGAGGGGCAGCCCTCTTAGGGGACCCTGAGGCTCTCGGAAGAGCCCCTTCAGGGAGCAGCTCTATGCCACTGTTGATATTTCACCTCCTTTTATCCTTCAACCTTTCAGAAAACTTTGTCCCAAATAGCAGCCTAGTCTTGCTGTGCTATGAAGAGTTAAATTCTCATTCTCTTCTTGGGATGAGAAGCAGAGGGGAGCGCCTCAGCGTCAGAGGAGTGGCAGCAGCCACAGGAGACCCCCCAGGCGGCAGCTGTGCCCAGGGGAGCACTTCTGAGGCGCATCCTGGAAAGATGCTCTGGGAACCTCTGGGAGTGGGAGCTGAGGGGCTGTTCCTTTCCTGTGCTGCTCGTAGGAAGTGAAAATCATCATAATTTGGGCATGAAAGAAAATGTGACCCGAATTTACACTCACTGGCAGGATTTTCTGGGGACACAGTTCTCAGGCATGTTCATAAGCCATTTCCCCTGCTAGTTCCCTCGTGGTTTGATGTAAATAGAGCTTTCAAACCTAAATGTTAACAGGGCCCACAGTGTGCATGGCACCAGTGTCCCTCAGATATAAATTATGGGTAAAATTTTGTGAGTGCCTACATTGTCTGTCTGTAAAAACGCCTTGAGATTATGTCTACTGTCCCTTCTCGCTCTCTCCCTTTTTAAGGCAAATTCCAGACATGGTCATTTCAAACCTATATAATCCCATATACATTTAAAATTGACATTTTCTTACATAACGAATACCATTATCACCACAGACTTATCAACCGTTTCTTGGCGCCATCTAACAGCCAGTCTGTATTCAAATGTTCCTGATTAACATGATATCGGATCCTCACCATCATAGGAAGAGGGATTCTCCTCATTTTTTTTTTAAAGCTATAAAGTAAGTACTTTTATGTTAGCAGAGGCTTTAACAGCAGAGGGTTTTTTCCACTTGTTACTTTGATGAGAGCATTTCCTTTATGCAGGAGCACAGGTTCTTAGTCTTGGGCCTCAATTTTTGCTGTGTCTCTGTCTTCAGTTAATGCATCCCCGGGGCTCATTCAACTCACCCAGCTTCCAACATACATCCTCTGCTGGCCTACTGGATGTATAAAATAAGCTATTGATCTGTGGATTTATAAAGGCTTCTGAGATGTGAAAGCAGCTCCTCCTGAGTACTTCCTAACTTCTGCTTTACCCTCCTGACGGCACTAGTATTATTACTTTTTTCTTTTAGTCTGACAACTTAAAAACGTGCATGTGGAATTACTGTTCCCATCCTGCTTTGCTCATGTCCCTTAAATCTTTGACCATTTTATTGATCTATGTCAAAGGTATGGGGAGTGGGTCTGCTCTCTGAGTCCTGTTTAACTGCTGGGGGTTTAGTGAAGGAAAAATGGAGTCCTGTGCTATAGCTCAAAAAAAAAACAGCTGGGTTATGTGAGTGGAATGCTGAAGGTTGTAAATTATTTCCTAGATTATATGCAAGGCTAAGTAGCACCGAAAACAGCCAGACTGCAAAAATCTTACTACTTACTGACTGCCAAGAGCAGTACATGTTTTCAAACATTATACAACTAGTATATTCATACATGTATTATCTTCTAAAGCCTGGTTCACTGCATGAGTTTTGGATTTGCTGACTAATTTGGATCAACTTCCATACCTTCCTCCATAGACACAAATTTTAAATAGTATCGATCACCAAGTGGTTTATGAACTTCGTGAAACTGCATGCACAATACAGTATGTAAGTACAACGGTGAACATTTTTCTTGGGAGAGAGTCCAAAACTTCCATCATGGTTTCAAAGGAGCCTAAGAAAACACTAAGAGCCTTTGATATGGAAAAAAATTCTAAAGGGTTGTCACAACAGCAATGCTCACAGGGGCCGGAGAGATTAACATAAGTGAGTGAAGTAGATGAGGTATTAGGCAAAAGGGAATGGTGGAAACTGATAGACTCAAATACGTTCACTCCAACTACATAGAGTAGCTAGCTATCTTTAAGCTGCAGATCACTGTTGGTAGGTGGGAACACAGGTTCAAGTGTTTCCTGGTCTTACTTTCTCTTCCCCCGCACCAAGGAAGCCAGAAATCTGGATGCTTACATGAAATCTTCCAAATTTTAAATGCTGATAATAAGTTCAAGTTAAATAAACAAACATTGTATGGTACCGACAACTGGTCTGCTGACTTGGTCCTCAGGCTGCAGGGCCTAACCGAAGCCAGGCATTTAAAAACATAATTAAATTCATAAGTAAAAATAACTAAACACTCTCTTCAGATCTGTAATAAGCCAACAACACCAAGACCATTTAGGAACAAGGCTCCCAAGGGATTCTAGTCTGGTGGTTTGGCATTTGAAAAGTTCAATGGCCAAATCTATAGCAATGCAACTGCTGAATGCAGCGGATCCTGACATCCACCCTTCCTTCCCCAGCCAATGTCCAGTACTCTGCATAGGTCAATCCCAGGCCTCTTTAGTGGCAGTGGGAAAAATGTTCCAGAAGAAGACATGTCAAGAATCCTAATATAGACCATCTAACCACTACAGTACACTTGAAACTAATACAAAATAATATGGAATGTAAACTGTAATAGAAAAACAAGAATCCTAATTACATAGTTATATAAAACCTTGGTTGTCCAGCTGACAGCACTAATAGATTGTCATGCCACATTTTGCTTATTGCCAGAATTAAAGTAAGTACAAGAAACTATGAAATGCACAGAGAAGTTTACCAGAACCAGACAAATAATATCTTTTGTAAACCAAATTAATTTCCATCTATAAGGGAGCTTGCTCTTTAAAGGGAATCTGCAATATAATGATCAGTAAGGGAAAAATAATTTCCAAATTTAACTGCGTCGCAAGTTTAGATTTAAAAATACTAGGCTTTTCAAATATGGTGCAAACCTAAAATTGAACCTGTCCCACAGGATGTGGCTGCTGGCACCCTGGCACCATTTGCAGGGCAGGTATGTAGCAAGCTCTGAGTTCTGTGGAGGATTGCAAGTGGGTGAGGAGAAGGGGGAGAGGACCCTAAAGGCAGCTGCTGAGAGGATCGAGGGCAGGACGGCTGCAGCGGGGAAACAAATGAGTGAACTATGGAAAACGTGATCAAAACTGACAACCACATTTCGCCTGAGAACACTGGCTGACATTCCAGTGAGAAAACTTGCCTTTTTTTTTTTTTAACTTTTGTGCCCCGGATAGAGTTTTATTTATAATATGTTTGAAAATGGTCATATGAATATTTGAGCTCTGGTAGATAGTACCACAAAGCAATGCTACTTTGTGAATAATGGAATATTTCCACTCAAGCAATTATACACTTTCTAAGTAAGGTATGTGAGAGAGTGTGTATGTTACATCAAATACATTTTGATTTTTCCCATAATTAGAAAAGAACAATTTAAGGTACCTGTGATCATGCTGGATACAATTAGCGGCAAAATGATGAGTTTCAGCATCCTCATTAGGATTTCTCCAGGAAAGGCAAAGTAGAACTTCTCCAGATTAGAGAGTTTGCTGTATTCTCGAACCAAGACTCCTATGCCAATCCCTAAAAAAAAAAAAAAAAAAAAGGGAAGGAAAAAAAAAGAACATTGTTGAGTTCTCCTGTATAAATTTCTATGGAAAAATACTCCCCCCAAATGATGCAAATTTTAATGGCAAGTTTAGATAATCTCCCAGGAGTCTGTAAATTTTAGACTTAAAAACCAAATCACATTTTAATGAATGGGAAGTACACATTATTTGGTAAACCTGTAAAAAATATTCTTCACGTGAAAAATTGTTTTTAATTTATTTTCTTCTTCAATCATGTTTATTATAATGACAAAACATCACAAAATACTGTGAGAAAGAAAATAATCATCTTGGTCGACCCAATACAGTATAACTTTTGTTTTTACACACCAACCTTATACTTTGTCTGGCTTAGATAGCTTACATATTTTATAGTTTACATAACTGTTTTCATTTTCTATTTTATGATAATTACTTTTTATAACTTTTATAAAAAACTCTTCTGTTTATGCAACTTTTATCATTTTAATAGCAACATAAGATTCTGTTGGTTTGATATATTTACCATATTGTTGAACAATTATGTTCTCTAATGCTTTGTATTCTTTTCAGGTCTTTTTAGATAATGATGTGTTCAAGTTTGTTTGGTCAAGAGCTTTTTACAAAGTTTCTAATCCTGGACATTTAGGCTTATTATGTGAGTAGGGGAATGTTTAATATCAAGACATGTTATACATTCTCTGAAAGCTTGTATAACATTTCATCTACATGAAATCCTTCTGTTGTGATGACTTGGATAACTAAAAATCACAAATTATAAACATGTCTTCTTTATCCTCTTCCAAATGGTTCCAATAATATCTAACTGCCCTCCGCCATCCCATTCCCCACAAACCCCATTCAGAATCCCCCCTTTTTAAAACCAAGAAATAAAATGGGCTGGGATGACTAGTGCATCAACTTCTGAGGATGACAGGCTAATGGGAGGTAAGATGACTAAGGAGCAAGAAGATTCCAGGAGGAAATCACTGGATATGCTAATTTACAAATGTGAAAATTTAGAGTCGTTTGGGCGTAGTTAAGAACTCCAGGGCAATGAAAAGAGATGTGAATTATAATCAGTATTAGAGTTTTCATTTAAATTCAGGTATACTTCCCATACCTATTAGTAGACCAAGTAGATGCACCTCACAAGATGCATTTGTGTAGTAATATTATTCTTACTAGTAGCTTAATTTTATATTCCCACATATTTTACTTTTGCTTTCATCTCTTTATTTTGTGTATGCATTACTGATTTCCGATCAGCCACTTTAAATGATTTCTGATCAGCCACTTTAAACTATATATATCTCCCATGTTCAAAGGCTGTTAAATTGCGTTGTTTACCCATAGCTTCAGAAAAAAATCACTTCTACTGTCCTGTTAAACAACCTGCTTCCCTATTTATAATGGTCTGGCCCTCTAGCAACTTCAGCACGAAATTATAGCTAATTTGCCAACAAACGTCAGGTGGTCATAATAATCTGGCCACTCAGTGTATGCAGCCTCAGTAAACATTTCCCAAAATGTAGCTAAGACAAAAAAAAAAAAAAAGGCTTTATTATCAAACCCATTTGGCTGGTATTTCAAAACCTAGTGTTAGAGACTCCTGAGTAATTAAGGTACACCAAGGGTTCAAAATATTTTAAGTGAATTTAAAAAGCTTTTTGTGCTCACTGCCTACTTAATAAATTGCTTACGTTCAGCTGTTCTATATGGAACATACCTACATTATGCTGTAAGGATACTCTATAATGCTCAGTGTTTTAAAAAAAGAAACCAACCAAACAGACATTTTTTTCTCATACTATTTAGGTTGCTTCAAGTAAATTTCTGGCTTGTATATCAAAGAGAGCTCTGTATGTAAAAATAAAGGAGATGTGTCTGTGCTCAAAAACCAGTCACAAAAGCACTCTGTTGAGTAGCAAAGAACCCAAAGTGCTCCGATCTTACTAACAATTAACTGTGCTTCTAATCATCTCCACCCCAAATGAATGCAGGGCAGTTAGAAAGAAACGTGCTTGCTTTTCCAGCCTTTAGCCAGATATGGGTTTTCATGGCAGAGATAAAAGAGTCTGCACAAGGAGTCATTTGAAAGCAATCAAAGGTGACAAACACTATAAATAGGTTACTGTGTTTAGTAATGAAAGCTTTCTCTCAAGCTTGTGCTTGACTTATCACAAATTGTATTCCAGTATTTCTCTTCTTTTTTCTTTTTTTTTTTTACTGAAAAAAATTTAAAAACCAACCGAGACCTGGAGAAGCAGGGGGGGGCGATTCACCCTGAGCCACAAATGTCATCCCTGGGGTCCTCAAGCATAAGAAGTGGTTGGTGAATGACCAGGAGTTACACCTGGGTAGTGGATGTGCTTTATTTTGGTCTCAAACAAGTTTGGAAAAATTAGATGTGAGATAAGAAAAATCACTAGGTTCTAAGATGAGAGGTCAGGACTTTCACAGGGCACAATCTTTCCCTACCCTTTTGCAGAGACAGAACCTTGGACTGGATTAAGGAGCATGGAGAGGTCTCCAAATCTAAAGGATGCTGGGAATAAGTGTCTGTCTTGGGGTGCACAGGTCAGATCCACTCCCAGAGCTAGAGAAGATCAAGATCAAGTATTGCTCTAGGAAGGCCTTCAGCAGGGCCTACAAGGAAGCCCAAAGGTAAAATTGGTACCTAGACCTCTATAGCCCCCGAAAATACCAGGAATTGATTTCTGGGCTGCCTTCCTCCAACACAGGCAAGAAAATCCCAAGCAGGTACTGAGGCAGCTTGGAAAGAACATGGTTTTAGGACAGGCTTGAATTCTGCCTCCACCACTTACAAGGTGTTAACCTTCCCCAGTTGTCAAGTGGTCAAATTAGAGGTAGGGGCAAACGGGTTGGATTAGATGCCTTCAAAGGCCCCTCTTAATGCCTAAAATGCTGTGATCATCTCAGCCTTGGTGTCCTCAACTTTAAAATGGGATCATAGGAGCAGCTCATTAGCTCCAAGGGAGCTGGCCATGTTTTCTTCAGTTTTTACACCAAATGTTACGTATACTGGTAAAACAGGAAAGGGAGAAACTAGGGAGGAAAGCAATTAAGACCTGAGCTAGAGATTTCTTCTTTAAGCTCATGTTCAAAAATTTAAGCTTAAAAGAGAAGATGCTATCTCTTCATGTCCATGTTGTCTCAAACAACTGTTACTCCAATAGCCTTATCTTGGAAGTCATGTGTGACTGCCCCCCCCCCACCCGCCCCCAACAATGTTTATAAAAAATTGTTTTAAAAAAAGCTAAAAAAATTATTGTTCAAGAAATAATTCTGGCAATCAAAATAAAGAACAAGTAATGATTTCATGAACCTATCCACTCCTTTAACCACCCCCTCATGCCACTTAAGAGATTAAAATCTGTGATTTTTAATCAAAGTCCCAGAATAGTATTATGATCCACAGATTGATTTTGGCTTGGTTAAACAAGAATTATTGGTAGAGGAAAAAATATTTTTAACCATCACTGAAAAAGTTATCTAGCCATGCCATTATTCTAGACATTATATTAAGCAAATACAATGTGCTTTTTTTGTCTAAAGCTAATGCTGATAACCAGAAAATAAAAAGTACAGAATGAATAGAGTTATCAACAAATAACTACTTGTATACCCTGAACAGCTTGACAGACTCGGGGGGGGGGGGGGGGGGGGAAGAAAGGGGGAGCTGGTCTCTCTATCCTGTCCTTCCAATGAAATATCTGTCTCTTTTCTCATCTTTTTCTTTAGAGCTAAGTAGTTCTACCAATGCAAGCTCTTACATGAACTCTGGCTCAAAAATAGATGCCTCTGAGTCAGTACAGCTTTTTTTTTTTTTTTTTTTTTTTTTACTGCACAAGAAATATTATCACAGCTCTACTGGAAATAATAAGTGCAAAAATTCACCCACAATTCTATCAACTTAAATATGTGAAAAGTGAAATTGTTTCCATGTTCCATATACTATTGCAGTTAATCATAATAAAATGGTTAATAATTATTGAGTATATACTATATGTCAGAATCTGTGCTAAGTACTTCAAATAAATGTTTTCTTGTATACCAATACTGTTATTTTTTGTTTTACCAACAGCTTTTTTTAAATTTTCCAAAAAAAATTTTTATAATTCTTTATTGTTTAAAATATTACATATATCTCCCTTTTTTCCCCATTGACCTCTCCCCAGCCACTCCCCCACTGCCCCCCAGCACATGTCCTCACCCCCCCTAGTGTCTGTGTGCATTGGTTATGCTTATATGCATGCATACAAGTCCTTTGGTTGATCTCTTACCCCTCCGCCCCCACCCTCCCCTGCTTCTCTGAGGGTTGATAGTCTGATCAATGCTTCCCTGTCTCTGAATCTACTTTTGTTCATCAGTTTATGTTGTTGATTATATTCCACAAATGAGTGAGATCATGTGATATTTATCTTCCTCCAACTGGCTTATTTCATTTAGCATAATGCCCCCCATGTCTAGTCATGGTGTTATCAATGGTTAAGAGTTCTTTCTTTTTTATAGCAGCGTAGTATTCCATTGTGTAGATGTACCACAGTTTTCTAATCCACTCATCTGCTGATGGGCACTAAGGCTGTTTCCAAATCTTAGCTATGGTGAATTGTGCTGCTATGAACATAGGGGTGCATATATCCTTTCTGACTGCTGTTTCTGATTTCTTGAGAAATATTACTAGAAATGGGATCACTGAGTCAAATGGGAGTTCCATTTTTTATGTTTTGAGGAAACTCCATACTGTTTTTCACAGTGGCTGCACCAGTCTGCATTCCCACCAGCAGTGCATGAGGGTTCCTTTTTCTCCATATCCTTGCCAGCACTTGTCATTTGTTGATTTGTTGATGATAGCCAGTCTGACAGGTGTGAGATGGTACCTCATTGTTGTTTTGATTTGCATCTCTCGGATGATTAGTGACTTTGAGCATTCTGACAGGTATGAGATGGTACCTCATTGTTATTTTGATTTGCATCTTTTGGATGATTAGTGACTTTGAGCATGTTCTCATATGTCTCTTGGCCTTCTGTACCAGTATGTCTACTTTTGAAAAATATCTATTTAGGCCCTTTGCCCTTTTTTTGATTGGATTGTTTATCTCCCTTTTGTTAAAATGTATGAGTTCCTTATAAATTTTGGAGATTAGACCCTTATCGGAGATAACATTGGCAAATATATTTTTCCATGCAATGGGCTTTCTTATTGTTTTGTTGATTGGTTCTTTTGCTGTGCAGAAGCTTTTTATTTTGATGTAGTCCCATTTGTTTATTTTCTTCTTAGTTACCATTGCCCAAGGAGCTGTATCAGTAAAGATATTGCTACAACATGTCTGATATTTTGTTGCCTGTGGATTTTTCTAATATTTTTTATGGTTTCCCACCTTACATTTAAGTCTTTTTTTTATCCATTTTGAATTTATTTTTGTGTATGGTGTAAGTCGGTGGTCTAGTTTCACTTTTTTGCATGTATCTGACCAATTTTCCCAACACTATTATTAAAGAGACTGTCTTGACTCCATTGTATGCTCTTGCCTCCTTTGTCAAATATTAATTGAGCATATTGGTTTGGGCC